CGAGCTTTCACGTTTTGGCTGCCATGACACCTTTCAAGGCTCTCTATGGTCGAGATCCCCTGCGGTTGGTGCCTTATGAGGTCGGATCTACAGCTACCTTAGAGGTAGAGCGGCAATTATGTGATCGCGATGCACTTTTGGCTGACTTGAAGGACCATTTGGGCCGCGCCCAACAGTCCATGAGGGACCACGCCAACAAGAAGCGCCGCTTGGTGACTCTTGAGGTCGGAGACATGGTTTATTTGAAACTTTAGTCGTACCGTCATCGGGCACTAGCTAGGGTAGTGAATGAAAAGCTCGCGCCACGCTATTATGGTCCGTTTCCAGTCCTTGCTCGTGTTGGTCCCGTGGCGTATAGGCTGCAACTTCCCGTTCATGCTCGGATTTACCCGGTCTTCCATGTGTCGCGATTGAAGAAGGCTCTTGGCTCGGTGGATAGTCCTCAATCTTTACCTCCCAATTTGTTGGAGGATTTGACATTGCAGGTTGAACCGGAGCAGGTTGTGGATACACGTTACTCCCCGATTACTGGTTCTCTGGAGGTTTTGATCAAGTGGCGCCATCTTCCAGACTTTGAGTCTTCATGGGAACTGTTTGAGGATATGCAGCGCCAGTTTCTTGCCTTCCACCTTGAGGACAAGGTGACTTTTATGAGGGGGGTGTAATTGATAAGCTCTTACTCAGGCAAGTGTACATTAGGAGGGGCAAAGGCTTAGGAAGGGGCAGGGCCTGATCGTGAGAAAGTTGTTTTTAGCTTTAAGTGGGAACTTGTAGTATTAGTGGTATACTTACTTAGATAGCTGGCAGAGGGGGGAAATAAGGTGGAATGTATAAAAAGGGAGGGAAGAAGAGTAGAAACGGTTACGGGAGAAATAATCAGGAAGTAGACAAGACTTGGAATCATTCCAAGCAAGGGGAGGAAGCAGACCCTCGAAGATCTGCGTATCATTGTATAGGTTCTGTCGATTAATAAAATTCCTACGTTGATTCTTTCTAGATTATTGGAGAGGGGAGGATAAGTGGGAATGTATAAAAGGGGAGGGAAGAGGAGTAGAAACGGGTACGGGAGAAATAATCAGGAAGTAGACAAGACTTGGAATCATTCCAAGCAAGGGGAGGAAGCAGACCCTCGAAGATCTGCATATCATTGTAAATGTTCTGTCGATTAATAGAATTCCTACATTGATTCTTTCTAAATTCCTTTGATTCTTCAATTCATTCTTACATAGTTCTTGTCCCAAACACCAAAGACTATCAGAATGTTGCGATTTCATCAAAAGCCATGTTTTGAAGACCTTTGAAGATTTTTGGAGAGTAGGGATTATTAATAATATCACCAATGAGACATAAATTTGTTTAATCCTGAAAAAGACCAGTTCGTGTAGAATTAAAGATTTCAGGCCAATAAGTTTGGTGTTTAGTCTGTACAAAATCGTTTTGAAGGTTTTGTCAAATAAACTTAAGGATGATCTTGAGGAGACTATTTCAGAAGTTAAAGGGGTTTTCGCTCTAAGGAGGCAGGTTTTGGACTTGGTTTTATTGGCTAATGAGGTGTTGGAAGACTACAGAACTTCGTGTAGAAGGGATTATCGTAAAAGCCGATTTTGAGAAGGCCTATGACCTTGTGGAGTGGAAGTTTTTGGACTCTGTGATGGAATATAAAGGGTTAAGGGCTAGGTAGAGAAGGTGGATTATGGACTGCCTCAGTTCAGTCTCGTATTTAGTGATGATTAATAGCAAGCCTCGGTGCAAGTTTCCAGCTTCCAAAGAGCTTAGGCAGGGGATCCGTTGTCCCTGTGTTTGCTTAAACTTGTGGTGGTTGTTTTAAACAAACTAGTTGAGAGGGCTGTTGATTTTTCTTTGATCAAACCACTTTCTATCGGGAGATTATGTATCAAAATTAGCCAACTTCAGTTTGCTGACGATACACTTTTCAGTTCATCGGATGAGGAGAGTTTGTCAAATTTATCGTCCCTTTTGGATTTTTATTTCCCTAAATTTCAGGTTTGGAAGTTAATCTAGACGAGGAAGATACAATATCCAAGTTGGCTAATATTGTCGACTGTACAATTGGTTCTTGGCTGGTTAAATACTTGGGGTTACCTCTTGGCGGAAACCCTTTGCAGTATACTTTTTGGGAGCCAGTATTACCAAGAGTGGTGGGGAGATTGGAAGGGTGGAAAAGAGCGTTTATGTCAAAAGGTGATCAATTTACACGTACGTACTCTGTCCTAGCTTCTCTGCCAATTTATTATCTATCGGTGTAGAATTCCTATTGGCGTAACAGGGGAAATTGAGAAGCTTATGCGAGATTTTTATGGAAGGGTAATTCTAAGGATGATTACACCCATTTCGTTGCTTGGGAGCAGGTGTGCAGGCCGAAGGAACTTGGGGGTCTGGGTATTGGCAATATCATTAAAGAAATGATGCTCTATTGGCAAAAGGGCTATGGAGATTTCCGTTTGACAGAATCATTGTGGCATAGAGTCATTACAGGGAAATATGGACTAGCCGAAAATAAATGGGACTCTGGGGCCACATCTAGAGTCACATTTAGATGCCCTTGGAAGTCAATCTAGTCTGTTGCAGAGGGTTCCTTTTTCAGCATGTTAAATGGAAGGTAGGCTCGGGAGAGATTGTCAGATTTTGGGAAGACTCTTGGTGTGAAGATAGACATCTATATTCAAGATTTCCTGCTTTATATAGACTTTTTGCCATCCATGATTCTAATTGCGAGTTTTGCTCTAGTGATGGTTCGTGGGATTTTAAGTTCTTCAGGAATTTGTCGAATGGAGAATTAAGGGAGGTCTTGGAGCTAATTGATGTTTTCGTGAGAGTTAACGTTAATGGTGTGCTCCAAAATGGAAGGGAGTGGGCAATTGATTCCAGTGGTTGTTCACTGTTAGATCTTTCTTTTCCGATCTGATTGCTGATTCCACAGTTCAGCGGATTCCTTTTCCTAAGAACACTTGGAAAACTCAAGCCCCTATTAAAGTTCAAGTCTTTTGCTGGCTTCTTGCTCTTAATAAGCTAAACACACATGACTCGATGCAGCACATGATTCTGATTGCGAGTTTTGCTCTAGTGATGGTTCGTGGGATTTTAAGTTCTCCAGGAATTTGTCGAATGGAGAATTAAGGGAGGTCTTGGAGCTAATTGATGTTTTTGAGAGAGTTAACGTTAATTGTGTGCTCCAAAATAGAAGGGAGTGGGCAATTGATTCCAGTGGTTTGTTCACTGTTAGATCTTTCTTTTCCGATCTGATTGCTGATTCCACAGTTCAGCGGATTGCCTTTTCTAAGAACACTTGGAAAACTCGAGCCCCCGGTAAAGTTCAAGTCTTTTGCTGGCTTCTTTCTCTTAATAAGTTAAACACATAGGACTCGATGCAGCACGTAAGTCCTTTTATTTTAATTTCTCCAGATTGATGTATTTTGTGCAAGAATGACGGGGAGACAACAAATCATTTATTCCTCCAATGCACTTTCTCTCATAAGATTTGGTCTTTGTTGCTGAATGAGTTTGATTTCTTATGGGTTACCCCTAGGAGCTGTGCCGAGTTGCTTGAATTTTCACCTCCTCAGAGCCTTAGTTATAGGCGCTCTATCTTGTGGAGGGTCGCTACACTAGCTATTTGTTGGGGCATTTGGTTAGAAAGAAACAACAGAATTTTTGAGGATCGCGGGGAAGATTCTTTGGTGTTATGGGACAAAATTATGTACTGGGTGTCATCATGGGTTTATAGGGACAAAAAGTTTGGTAGGCAGATATTTTTGGATTTTGTTAGGAGTTGGGCTTCTTTCTTAGTCTTTTTTCCCTCTGTATTTTTGGAGTTGGTTTTGGTGGGAAAAACTCTTCCTCCCTTTCCTTTGCTCCTTTATTTTTCTTTTTTGTTTTTAATAAAAGTTTATCTTTCACAAAAAAATAAAGTAATCGTGATCCCTAAAGTTAAGGGCTAGTCATGATCTGGTGGTTAGGACTTAGGAGGCAATATTATTTATGTCTGTAAACTTTTCAATGAATTTTCAACAGTGGTTTCTCATTTAATTCTCTTCACCTCTAATTTCATGTTATCAAAGCCACTCTCATAACAGAAAAAAATTTAATCAACTGATGGCAAAAACTGCCATGATGGGAACGAGTAAAGACTCCTCTTTGGTGGTGTCCTCTAACCCTGTTTCGCAATCTCCTGTCATTGTTTTACATCATACCAACAAGAATGCCTCCCTGCATATCACAAACCATAGACTAATTGGCAAGAATTTTCTCCGGTGGTCATAGTCCGTGTTCATGGTGATTATGGGAAGAGAGAAGATGGGTTATTACTAGAGCCACGATGATACCCAGCGTTGATGACCCGAAGCATGCAACTTGGGAGTTGGAAAATTCTCTTGTAATGGCGTGGCTAATAAACTCGATGGAGGAAAGAATCAGCCAAACTTATCTATTTCTACAGACAGAAAAGGCGATTTGGGATGCATCTACTATGTTCTTTATACATCACGCATCACGAAGCGGAAGATCTACATAGGGTCTTTTGTGTCGCACCAAATGACAAACATTGTATTTTCCAATATGGATGATTTTGCTCCTTAAATTATGGTGCCATGTTGTTGAAAGTGCAATGTGTCACATATACAAGATCAATTCTTGAGCAATTATTTGGTTCTTGAAAACTAAAGGTGTTTATTGTACCCTTTAAGGCCATGTTTGGTAGCTTGTATTGTTTGTGTAAGGTGTTTATACCTTAAGAATTACCGTGGAATGCACCACTAAGAGGATCTTGTTTTGGACGTTGAGGTTTTGCGTATTTACTTTATCAGCTTGGGTTCATGTCACATTTATATGCATACAAAAGTTACTTCATGATATGTAGGAATAAAGCTTTTGCTTTCTTCCTACTTGTCTTTTATGCAAAACTAAATCTGAACAATGAAAAACTCATTTGAATCCATAGAAGGGCTTTTTCCCCCTGATGAAGCATCCATATTTTTGTTTCTCCAGCCGTGAGTTTACTCATCGAGTCAAGTCTGTATCAATGGCCAAGTTTACATCCGAAGAAGTCGAAGCTCTCCAAAATGGTGGAAATCAGGTGTTTTTGTGTGTGTGTGTGTGTGTGTGTGGTGTTTTCTCCCTGGAAAAATGAGTTCCTATTCTCATTGTTATTGGCTTGGCCATTCAATTATTTCAGCGTGCAAGAGAAATATATTTGAAGGATTGGGACCTTCAGAGACAGCGATTACTGGACAGCAGGTCAGACCTATACAATTTATAATTTATAGCATATGTTTTGGGCATGTGAACCGAAAACACACTTTCCTGATCATGTTTCCTTCTGGCAGTGATGCTGACAAAATCCGGCAGTTCATCAAGGATGTATATGTGGATAGAAGATATGCAGGAGGAAAACCATCTGACAAGCCTCCAAGAGATATGCAGGCAAGAGATATTTGGGATTTGAATTCCTTTAGCAAGTATTAAAAAACTGTCTAGTCATTGATTTAACTTAGCCTTTGAATCATTATACAATAGCACTCTGACCTTACCCTAATGTACCATATAATATGACCTTATATGAGCCATGATTTGACAGAATCGCGGAGTTCGTGAAGATGAGACAAGACGTGCAAGTTCTTATCATTCCTATTCTCAAAGTCCACCTTATGATTATCAGTATGAGGATAGACGGTATGGAAAACAAGTAGCTGCACTTACAAGGAAACCTGGATCAGATCGGGGTGGGTATGGAGGGAAGGTGTCTGGCTTTGTCTACAGTCCTGATCGCCTCAGTGAACAAATGTATGACGACAGATTTGCCAATGAGGACTCTTTTTCTAGAGTTTCAGACTATTCTGTATCAAGTGGAGGTGATCCATTCAGATCAGGTACACAGTCCCCTAATTTTCAGAAGGATATTGGTTTCAGCAGTCCAACTTTTCAGCCTTCAAGGGGTGTTTCAAGTGAAGATCTTAGGAGCCAAGCAAGATTTCCAGAGGTATTTTGTGTACTCTAATAAGTTGCTATACTTCATGCATCTCAAGCAAAATGGATAAAAGAATTTCATTCTAACTGCTTTCATCTTCAAGGTTTTGGATTGCTTGCGTTTTTTTTTTTGTTTACTTGATAATTTCCTTTTGTAGAGTGCTGGTCTATTAAATTGTTCTATACAGGGAATGCGTTAGAAAAATTCTTATTTCTAAGTGAAAATCCTGCTCAACTTTTTTCTTCAGATCAAATGATTGTTATAATTCAATCAGTCCATTTTTGTGTCAGTTTAGGTGGGACCAAATAAATTAAGGAGCACCTTCATTTATGGGGTTTAACCACGCAACTGCGTCCTACTCCTAATTCTTATGTATTTATTCGTACTTTAAATCATGTTGCCTCGTTTTATAATTTCAAAGAAAAAAATGTTGTCCCGATTAATCACCTAATTCCGTTGTTTCTTTATTCAGAGAAGTAGGTCTGCTGGAAGCTTCGGCTCAATTGATAGCAACTTTATGTCTCAGAAGTCATTTAATTCAGGAGGTTTTACAGATGACGTCTTAAAGTCTGAACAAGCTGCTGACACTTTTCAAGAAAGATCATCCTTTCCTGGATCGTCTGTTCCTGGACGTTCTGATAGCTTGGATCTTTTCAAGGCGCCAACCATACCAAAGACGGTCTATTCAGCAGCACCAGTTGATCTGTTTAAGTTACCCGAAGCACCGTCCGCTTTATCACCACCATCACTAGTGTCCTCAGCTTCATCTGCTAACGAATTTCAGCCGACACAAACTTCTCCAACTTATTTAGAATGTTTTGCAGTTGCTGCTCAGCCAGAGTCAACTAAAATCTCCAATGAAATATTACGAGAATTTTCTGTCCCCAAAAGTGAAGGATGGGCAACATTTGATGTGCCTCAGCCCTCCACACCTATCTCAAGCAACGAGAAAATTAGCCCTACAGGCTTACCTTCTGGCAGTCGAGGGTCTGTAGGAAAGGTTGATATGTTTTCATCCTTAGATACAAGCATGCAATGGCCATCAGTTCAAAATTCTAGTTCAGATGTCTCTTCAAATATATCTAGTGCATGGAATGATAGCTTGCTAGATCTTATAGCTCCTAATGCTACAAGAACTCAGGTAAATAAAACTACAGTGTTCAGTTTTGCTGTGGAGAATTAATTGAGAATTGCAATGACTAAAAGATAAAAGGTTAACTTTTATCTGTTTCAGGAATCAGAGCAGTTATGGAATGCTTTTGAAGACTCTCTGGGGCAACCACATTTCGAGGATATTAAGCAGAATGGTGCACTACTTGTAGGAACGGATAAGGTTTCTTCAGCTGTTAATCAGCAGTTGGGCTTAACAGCTTTTGAGGTTGGTTGCATGAACTTTATAGTGCTTTTACATGGTGTTCATTTTTTCCCCCTTTTATTCTGAATGATGATGCTTTACAGATCTCCAGTTCCAATAGCATGCAAAGGACTTCCTCCCACGGTGAACCTCCTGCTCCCGTTTCATCATCCCTTGTAATGGGGCCATCATGTACTCCACCAATGCTTCCTTTAATGGTTTGTACTTTGCTTGTTTCCATGTTTTCTTTATGATTTTGGCCACTGTCCTTGATCCTTTTTATTTTTTATTATATATATATTTTTATCATTCTTCAGTGGCGAGATGTTTTGCTTTCAACAGGGAGAAATGGAATCACATTCAACTGATCGCGAGTCAACTAACCCATTTGATATTCCTTACGATTCAGAACTGGAAGAAAACAACATGGTAAAACCATCAGAGTTGACATGTCTGTGGTGGTCTCTTTCGTTTTCTTCCCCTTCCAATTTTCTTCCTTTCTCTTTGGTTGCTACAATTCTTGCAAAGTCTATACTGAAGTTCAATTTGATATATTGCTAAAGCTAATGCCCATTAGTGATTGTTATGGAAATAGACAAGTACAATCTTGTAAAGAAAAGAGATACCAAACTGATACAGAATCACATCATGATAATGAAATTTCTGCTAATACATACACCTACTAAAAATTGAGGAGTAACATAGTTTGATACAATATATTGTTCCTTGTCAAAAGGGTGATCATTTTGTTGCCACAATCTTTTGTTCCTTGGCATTTGTTTAGCCATATTCTAAGTTGATATATTGCTAACAATTGTCTTCAAGACAAAGTTATTATATTTTCGGTCTCCTGTGTGGCATTCGGCAACTAAAGTCATTTTTTTTTTTTACGTAAACGGAAATAAAAAGTCGAAAAGAGAGGAGATGATTTGCCGACAATGCTATTTTTATGCTCAACTTGCTATTGCTTATTTTTATGGTCATTCATTTTTTGCCTTTCTTTCTGAGATCGTCAATAATGCTTTGGGTTTTGCATCATCAGTAAGCACTTAAATAATTAAGAACCAACTTTGAGGAAACATCAATTAGAAAGCAGAAAAATATAGACGTCTATCTGTTTGTACAACAAGATGCTTTCTTGCATTTTCATTAGGGGGAGACTTTATACTAAAAGTGTATATGTATAGAATCTGGAGCACTCTAGAGCTTTATTTATAGCTGATCAAAATATGTAGTGTGGTTTTCAAACTCTAAAGTGCATCTTATTTGTAATTTTTGGCAGAATACAATTGCATATGAGATGAAATAATGGATATTGCTGGCTATCTTCTTTTTTTTTTTTTTTTTGGGTGGAAAAGAAACAGAACCTTTATTAATATAAATTATGGACAGTGCTAGCTAGCTTTCGCTGCTTTCCTCATTTATGTTTTCGTTTCGTTAATATTAAATTTTGACGAAATGTCTCTTTTAGTATAAGATGGGATCAAATATCATGGTGTGCTTTGGAAGACTGTGGTTGTGGTATGATATCTCATATGGATGCATTCATTAAACGATAACAAATTTTACAGCATTGTCTGTGGATTAAGAAGCAGTGAAGTTGTTACTGATTATCTGACTTGTTTACAAATTCATTAAATTCTACTTGGTCGTAGATGAGACAATGCTGTATGTTCGTATCTGGCTATTTGAAATTAGAATTATTACTTTTTTAATTGGTTGTTCTTCTTGTTGTTAAGTAAGAAAAAAGAAAACAAATTCAAATTTTATGTAAGCTGCTGGTGTTGTATGCATGATGGGTGATCTATTAAAATATATCTTATGTTATACTTTCCTAATATATTTCTTATGCATTTAACATCTTCAAGTTTGAAATGTGGATTTACTTACCCTCTTGTATATCACTTGGTGTCAATCTTTCTCGAGAAACTACCCTTTTACCAACTAGCTAATCAAATCCAAATCCTTTATTGGATACTATCTTGATTTGGGAAAGCTGAGTTCATTTCCATCACCTATGGAATAAAATAAGATAGCTAATCGGATCCAAATCCCATCTTAGATACTATCTTGATTTGAGAAAACTGAGTTCATTTCCATCACCTGTGGTATAAAATAAGAGTAAATGGAGGATCGCTTATATGGAGATTATGAATTTTTTGCATTTACTATCTCTAATTTGTCTTTGTTTAATTTATGTTTCAGTTTATGGACATGAGCTCCTTGCAAGCAGCTCTACCAAATGACCAACTGTCTTCCAGCTTCCTTGGTGGTGTATCTCAATCTTGGTTCCCTCCAAATTCAGTGACACCTTATATTCCATCAGCTGGACAAGGTAGGCCTGTACTTTCTAATGCCAGAGCTGCAAATCTGTTAATCAGTGGGAGTTCGGAGCTTTGATTAAATTCTTCATGATCGCACAAAACAACAAAATATTTATGCATATTAATCTTCTGTTTTTGTCTTTTCTGGTTCCGACGTGATGTAGGTGGGGTAACATATCCGGCTCCGCAAGCGCCAAGCTCTCAAATACCGTAAGTTATTTTTCTTCTTTCACTATTCTGGCCTTTTGATCTTCTGTAGTCGTGGATATCTTTACCTGTTTGTCTTTTAACTTAGTACGACATTATTCTATTGAAGTGATCGTCTGCCAGTTGATTTGGCATTGTTAGTCCATGAATCTTAAGCATAGTGATATTTTTGTCCCTAAACTTTTAATTTCTGGTCTATTAGTCCCTGAACTCGCAATTTTTGACAGGTTTAATAGTACCGTAGAGAACTTTGCATGTAACGTAACTCCTTCTATAAACTTTTAAGTTATCACGCGATAAACACATGATTATCTTTGTTAAATTTTAGAAATCGTTCGTCAATTTTAGTATTAGGGAGAAAGAGGAGATATATTAGAGAAGAAAGAGAGTTTTCAGAATTGAGTGAGGAGGAAGAAGAATAAGAGAGGAATGTCGAGGAGTTTTTGATATCATTAATCAATAATCAATGATCAATAATCAAATCTAAATTGCAATAACAGTGTTTAAAGCTATTTATAGAAAAGGAAATAACAAGAAAGATAAATTAACAAATAACAGAACTGAATTAGTTTTAGAAAACTTATTATTAAGAAATTGTATTTTAAATTGCTTTATACATTTACTATATTAAGTATTCCTCATAAGCTATTCTTATTCCTCATAAGATTGATGCTAGATTGAAATACATGCCAGTTAATAGAAAAATGTTAATGGTGCACGGTAGATTACTGCTGCATCACCCCAACCCAGTCCACCGTCTTGTTATGTGACAACGTTGAATGGCTACTACCCCATTGCAGCACTCAATAAATTCTCGTTGTGCGTCCATGCGGTGTGTAACTAAATACATTAATGACCATGTCTATTCTGGAATGCTCCAGCACAAGGGCCCGTTGCATCTATTGGAGGAAACCCTTTTGCATAAGGACTAATCTTAGGATGAGATTAGCGGTTCGTTCTATAAATTTTAGTTCTATAAGTTTGCCGTGTATGATAACTTTCAGCCTGTCTGCAAGGCCATGAACTTCTGTACTGTTTTTTTTTTTTGGTTGTACTTATGTTTTACATCTTTCGAGCATAATTTCTTACCTCTTTCTTTTTCCCGCTTTCCTTTTTGGCTGTATCTTCGTTACATCCAAGGAAATACATGCCGTTGGAAAATCCAGTTTACAGGGAAGTACCATGACCGTGAGCCTTCATTTTTATTTTTAGTAAGAGCCTCTAAACCCTTTAGTAATGCTACTTCCTAGGCTTCTATGGCTTTATTATCTTGAGCCGTTAATTAATACCTGGAATAGTCCGTGAATAACTGGTAATTTGACCTTATTTTGGCTTCTTAAAACAAGATATTAAAACAAGGACCTCATCCAAATTTAATTGAGAAAAGGGGGAATGAGAACTTACAACAAGAAAGTAACCCTTCTTTGAAGAGACTACTTTGAGTTAAAATTGTAACTTGAGTTTGTGTTTGGTTGTGTACATTTGAGTTATGGTTTGAGATAAGAATCTTTTTGAGTTTGTATTTAAGTGAGTCAAAACTTGAATTTGTATTTAGATATAGGGTTCGTTTAGTTCGCTGATTTGAGTTTTTAATTTGAGTTGATATGTGACTTTATGTGAGAACTTTTTACTGCAGTTAAAAAGTTAGATGTAATTGTTTCTGAGAGTTTTTTACTATTGTAAAACTCAAATTTTAAACTCGAATAGGTGAAATGAATGGGGCTATAGTATTTTAATAAAAACTCAATGGTGATGAAAAATTTTAATAGGGTATATGGGTGGGGTTTTATTGGTGTTTTCATTGTCAATACGCAGAAAAAAAAATCTCAATCAAGATTAAAATGAAAAAGTTATAGCATTTTTAAGAATAAAAAAAATATTGTTCATTAATTTGAGTTCGAGTTTCTGAACTCGAGTTAAAGGAGAAACGTAAACTCAAGTTTTAGTCCTAAACTTGAGTTCAAACTCGAGTTTAAACTCGAGTTTAAACTTAAAAGAACATGAACTTGAATAAAGTTTGAACTCAAGTTGTCTTTTTTTGAGTTTTTGAAGCTGCCGAACAAAGCCTACAATTTTGAGTGTAGATGTGATTTTTTTTTGGTAGCATGACGGGGGATATTATCAAAAAGAGAAAAGGAAACAAATATTTTTTAAATTATATGAGTCTGAATTTTTATTCTTTATTTTTTATTAATATCTTTTTTATTTGGATAATAATTAAGAGAAAATAGTAAAAATGAATTCAAGCACTCTAAGGGTAAGTTTAATAATTTTCTCTATCAGAAATAAAGTAGAGTAGGTATTGGTTGTTTTGTTAGAAGAGACCCAAAAACTATTTTCATAATTGAATGTCATTGAATTTGGTAAATAGATGATAACTGATAACAATATCAATGAATCAATGATTGACCCTTCATTTGGGATTTCTTTGGGCTTGTTATTTTGAGTGAAAAACTCAAGAAAAGATAATTCGAGTTACAACTTTATTCGAGTTCATGTTCTTTTAAGTTTACACTCGAGTTTAAACTCGAGTTCAAACTCAAGTTTAGGACTAAAACTCGAGTTCAAGTTTTTCCTTCAACTCGAGTTCAGAAACTCGAACTCAAATTAATTAACAGTATTTTTTCTATTCTTAAAAATGCTATAACCTTTTCGTTTTAATTCTGATTGAGATGATTTTTTTTCTATGCGTTGACAACGAAAAGACGAATAAAACCCGACCTATATACCCTATTAAAATTTTTCATCAGCATTGAGTTTTTATTAAAATACTATCTAAATACAAATTCAAGTTTTGACTCACTCAAACACAAACTCAAAAAGATTCTTATCTCAAACCATAACTCAAATGTACACAACCAAATACAAACTCAAGTTAGAAATTCAACTTAAGTTATAACTCAAATTCAACTCAAGAATTATACTCAAGTTAAACTCCAAAAGAACAAGCCATTAATAAGTTGTCTTGTACAAATGACTAATGTTGTAAGGGCTAATTTGCCAGTTGCTTCATGGTCCCCAACTTTTTTCTGTGGTATTTAAATCCCATCCTCTCCAAATGGTACAAACAGTACCCTTCTCCTCGTTAGATGGCCATTTCTCCATCAATGCTGATTTCTAAGAGGTATTTCATGCAATAAAGGTTTCTTGCTACTAATTTCATTCACCATTCCCTTTAGGCCTCTATTTTTTAATTGAATTGGGTTTAATTTAAAAATTAATTTAATTAAACAAGATTAATTAACGAAAATCTAAGGAAATAAATATTTACAAAGTAAATACTAAAATATATTGCTCCGGAGTCTTTCTTTTACAAATAATGCTAAAACAGTTCATAAATTTATAATTTTTCTCAATATATTACAACTCTGAGATAACGCTGACTAATACATTTACATACACAAAATACAGTCCAACTCAGAATTAAAAAATTGTAAAACCAAGATAAAACGAACCATCTTGAATCTCAAGCCTTCAATCTATTGGCATCAATTTTACCGCGCTACAAATCAAATTGCTAACTCTGCAGGGAAAAACATTTTAAGCAAGGGTGAGCTAAATGTCCAGTAGGAGAAAACAGGATAACGACAATAAAAACAAGAAAGAGATGATAATCACAATGACTGAAATATTGATCAAAACCATGACGCGTAATTCAAGTGCATGTAAGAGAAATATGAAAAATAGGTGAATCTTAACAAATGCAACTAAATGCAGAATAGAACTGATAATTAAGTATTTCAATAATTCTTTTAAAATACTATATCATTTTCAAATTCATTTCAAAAGTGATAAGGCATCCGGTATCTAAATAGTCTACAAAATACTATGTATTTTGCAATTCTATTAGACACTAGGATATCTAAATAATTTGTAAGTAGGTGAAAGATAAAAATCATGCGCCGGTAGTTTGAAATACTCTTTCAAAATACCGCTACGTAGTTTAGTGCAAAGCCAAATCACCACCCATGCTGCGGAGTAGCCTGTACGGGTTTCGGGACCTACCCTCAAGGATACGATCTCCATATCTCAATCTCTGTGGCCATCATGCTGAAATCAACTATCTAAAATGCTCATTAGATAGCGTTTGAAAACTCATATATATCATGCTCGAATTATCTCAATTCGAGACTTTTCGAAAATCATGATTCGTGAGCTCAAATTTTTGGGAAGGTATTTCATATATATAATTGTTATATATATGTTTAGACATGCTTTCCAAAATTTTTTTTTAAAGTCTGGATTTACCAAGTTCGTATTAGTAGGAAAAAAGTGAAAATCTAATGGTAAATCTCGGATATAAACGGTAAATCTAGGACTTACAAAGAATGTATTTTTAAAATTTCAGTTGGTTGTAAATTCAGATAATAGGAGATATCTTGTACAATCACGTGGAGAGCTCTTCCAAGTTGAAAGGCATATTTCAGAAGATGCAGTTATTCGTTCAGCAACAACATTCAAAGTTTACAAAGTGGAGTTTGACGAGGAAAAGTGGAGTTTACAAAGGCACACAGTAATGCTAGCCTAATAAACTGAAAACCAGCCTGAACTCTAAGGTCCTAAGGTTAAGAAGAAATAATGGCTTTATATCTTTTCCATGTGGGACAGTTTTTCCCAATTTTATGGGAGTTTTCCTTTGATTTTAACGTCATTTGAGTATTTTGGAAGTCAATTTCTCATTCACTCATTCACCATTTGAGCTTATGAATATGACATTTTTATCTCATTGCAATGGAGAATATAAATTTAAATTGAATCAACACTAACACATGGAGTTAAATAGTTGTTCTTTTGTTTGTTTGTTTGGTTTTTTTTTTTTGGTGGCTAAAAAGGAAACAAAGGCCTGCAGGCATACAAAGGGCAGGCAGCCATGTATGAAAGGCCCCGAAAGCAAACGAACAAAACAAACCAACAAAGAGTAAACCAGCAACACACTTCAAAATAACTAAACTTAAAGAGACATCTCCAACCAAACTTGAGAACACTAAAAGTAGTTCGTTTGACATCACACATCAAATGATGATGAATCGCTCAGCTGACATGTATATGTTTGGAGATGTGTTAGGAGACTCTGTCTTGGTCTTGTCCAAGCCTAAGGCTTAAACAATATAGCGCTTCTCTTCTTCATAAAAGACGTGGAAGCCTAAGATTTCCTTCAACTTTTCTAAAGACGGCACTTTTCCAGGACCAGGGACACCGCCACCTTTAATGGCAGCAAGAGCATCCTGCATTCATATTTTGTCCTCAATTAATATATATAGTTCTGGTTAATTTCCTTCTTTCGGTTGCTGTTTTTTTTTTTTTCTTTTTCTTTTTACCCTGAGAGAATCCACAGTACTTTCTCCGAAAGAGGTCATAAATAAGAATAGAAATTAAAAGAAAAATGTTTAGATGTTTAACCTGTATGGCTAGAATAGATGCTCCGAGCAAGCAAAACGGGTAGGCCACGAGTTTATATCCAAAACTGGCCATTTCTTCAGGATTGGGAAATGGTGTGCCCCCATCTTCACCCATATTGGCGACCTACACACACACATAATAATCAAGGAGCTCCATCAATTAATTAATATCTTCACCCATATTGGCGACCTATACACACACACATATAATAATCAAGGAGCTCCATCAATTAATTAATCACTACAAACCAAACCTTTTTTTATATAGATGTATATAGTAGAACAATCAAAATTAAGAGTACGTATAGGAGTAGTATTATAAAAAGGGCATGCAGTCAAGAAAAATTAAACATTCCTATATGTATATATAATTATATGGTAGTTTTGGAACATGGGGAACGGCATTACAGAAAGCCTTCATCTCGTCTTTTGAAAATAGATTATCAAGAAAAATGACGTCTGCTCCGGCATCAGCAAAAGTTTTCATCCTCCAGAGTGCTTCCTCAAAAGACACTGCCAGTCGAGCATCAGTGCGTCTTACAATCACAATGTCGGTGCCACTCTCGCTCCGTGCATCTACGGCGGCTTTTATCCGCATCACTGCCTCCTCTTTTGACACCACTTTCCTCTGTGGTCCTTCACCAGCTGCTTTTACAGATACCTTCACAAGTACATATATATCTTTAGTATTTCTCATAAATTAAGATTGGCATGAAGATTTTAATATTCTAGTTCAATCTAGTGTTTGTTTTTAAAAAGTGAAAAATGATTCTTAAAACTCCGTATTATGTTTAGATAGTTCTGATTTAAAATTTAAATCCTGATGTGCTATTTTAAACTAAAATCAGCTCAAAAAATAAAATCAACCCCTTAGTGTTAGATAGTTCAAATTCTTGATTCTGATTTCGATTCCAGAATGATAATTTGGACCCTGAATTATGGTTCTGAGTTTAAAACTAAAATCACTCAGATTGTAGAACTAAAACCACCACATTATAGCTTAAAGTATATTATATATATGATCTCCATGACCACATCAATATATGAGAAGACAATTAACTAGAACCTGATCATCAATCATAACCCCACCAAATCCAGCTTTGATAAATCCCCTGACGCTTCTTTTAAGCATCATCGCGTTCCCGAATCCATCATCAGCATCTCCAATTACAGGAATCGAAACAGCTTCAGTGACTTGTCGTCCCTGATCCACCGTTTCTCCATACGAGACAATATCTGTGTCTGGCAATCCATATCTAGCAGCTGCTATATGAAACCCTGAAACAAGTAGTACAAGCTAGCTAGCACATTAACAAACCACCAGATATTTTTATTTTTCATTGCAACATTTCTTCAATACTTATGCATGCTTGCTTGATTGATAGACAGACAGTGAAATTATTCACATACCACCAGTAAAGCAGTAGGGAAACCCTGCTTTCTCTACCAACATAGCACTAAGACCATCATAAACAACTGGGCCTTGGTGAATCCCCGGCGCCTCCAGAACCCGCGGGAGCACCTTCGCCGGAGACTCGCGTTTCACTATGGGCTGAACACTCATTCTCACTCACTGAGTCGCTCTCTGTTTCACTTTTGACTCGATGGTTGGCAGTGGCATGCACACAACGTCTGTATGTGTATATATATATAGTTGTTGCAGTGTGGAGGTGGGTTGTTTGCCATTTCTGTTACAAGAAAAGAGTGTCTTCTTGTACAACGTGTACAACGTGGGTCACGCTCTCACGCTTTACACGTATTGAGATAGAGTTAAGAGGTCATATATTAATTTACTATGCAGATTAGGTTTCTATTTGCCCTACCAAAATTTATTGATGCCCCCTTTATAATATATTAGTTCCTAAAGATACCCCTTAATTTTTGTAGATATTCTCTTTTTCTTCATCTTTGCTAGTATCTATCAAATAAAATTTAATATTTAATTTAATGGACACATTTTCTTGATTTGATATTGTTGTGTGGGAAAATATGTGTTGACATGTCGGATACCGATGATGCTCCACGTGGCACAAAACCCGCCACGTCAGGTAGCCATCGACGCCTAAAGCTCATTTCCCTCTCCGTTATCTGATGAAAAGCCCGACCGTATGGGACGATTCATAAAACCCTCAACACTACATACAATCGAGGCCTACGTGATGTGCTCGCAGTAGAAGCGGCGCCATGAGAGGGTCGACCAAGGCAGAGGTTGTGCCCTGTGAAGTATAGTGTAGGCGCAGAGGGCAGACTGCATGAATATGGGTCCACGTCCCAAGAAAGGCCTCTGAGTGGACAAGGAGAAATCCTTAGGTTACGTCTGGGTTTGGAGAAGGTCAGTAGCACAGAAAATGATTACTTGCCCACGAACTACCTAGAATGGACCAATAAAAGCCACAAAGGATCAACAGAGCCGCAATAGTGAAAAAGTGGATGAATGAACAGTAAAAAAGGTGCTGAGAAGCTACGATCTAGGAAGGTAGGATGGTAGGCTACTTGAGAGAAACCATCATTAGACCCCCTGTGACAGTCCGTCCAAAAGGACCCATATGTAATCCAAAGGCTATAAAAAGGAAAAAGCCCCAGAGAGAAAGAGAGAGTCTTTTTGTAACGGAAAAAGAACAAAAAAGAAATACAATTAGCAGTGGATGTAGCTCTTGTTTAATAGAGTGAACCACTATAAACTCGTGAGTGTCTTTACTTGCGTTTTTAGGCAATACCTCCTATAATATCCCTAAAAAACAAGCACTGACACTAAAATATTCTGAGAAAACTACAAGTTTTGACCAGTAAACCAACGAACCTCCGAGGGGTAATCCCGTGTAATATTGTTGACGAAAATCAACCGTCAACAATTGGCGACTCCACTGGGGACTGTACCCAGAATCTCTGGTTCGTGTGTTTAGGACCCAAGACAACTAAGAAGTAACCAGCGATGATGCCTTTGAGAAGAGGGAAAAACAGCGCTGTGAATCAAGGCAGCCAAACGGAGGAGAACGTCGCATATCCGGCCAACCACAAGGGCGGGGAAGATCAACCCAACCAGGGGAACCAACCCCCTGGTGGGGAACAAAATTCCACACCCGAGCATACCACATCTTGATCCGGTACAAATGCAGGTCCAGTTGAACGCTCTGACCGACTTGGTTCGAGGGCTGGAGAGCACTAGTGAATAGACGCTTCATGCCCCCTCTAGAGGACGACCCGATACGCTCTGACCGACTTGGTTCGAGGGCTGGAGAGCACTAGTGAATAGACGAGAGACGCTTCATGCCCCCTCTAGAGGACGACCCGAGACCACCAAGTGCTGCTGTGGCCGGGAACCAGTGCGGTGCCCCAAAAGGGATCAGGGAGAGTGAAAATGTCAGAGGCGATAACCCGAGGCCTCGACCGTCTAAGTCCCTCGGTGGCCGACAAAGGGCCGCAAGGCGATGAGCCCAAGAGAAAGGAGTTGTTAGAGGTCTGGAGAACCCTGAAGTGCCACCTCGAAACCCAGGTGTGAATATCCTGGGGATTCAGGGTTGGTGCAAAGGGACGGAGACCTGAAGAATAAGCTAGATGCCAGGAAGGCAGGAGCCTCGGAAGGGGTCAGTTCTGCCATCTCAACGGAGCAGGTAAAGGCCATCATAGAGCGCATGGCGAGCTTAGAAGAAAAGCTCACAGGTGATGTCGCCGGTATAAAAAAGAGTGTGAAAATCCAAGTAAGTCACCTGTAAAGGAACTTGGGGCAGTTGGCGGAGGTGGTTAATGTCAACATTGCTCCCAGTCGAACTCATGACCACCTTTTTACCGCCGAAATCATGGCACCACCTCTCCCAGACAAATTTAAGTCCCCGTCGATCCCGCCATATGACGGCAGAGGGGATCCAATGACCATCTAGAGATGTACATGAGACACATGCTCCTGCATGGATACACAGAAGAAATAATGTGCCGAGCATTCTGGAACCACTAGAAAGATTCTGCCCGGAGATGGTTCCGGACGCTCAAGCCAGACTCAATCTCTAGCTGGGAGGAATTGAAGGAAGCCTTCTCCCTCTAGTTCATCGGGGTAAAGAAGTATATCCCGCCAAAGTAAAATCTGACAATGGTTTACCAAAAACCAAACGAATCATTAAAAGAGTAGCTGGCAAGGTACAGAGAGGCCGTTGCTGCTACATTGGATATGATGGATCAGGAAGCTCTGATGGGGGCTCTATCAAGTATGAAAAAGACCACACCATTCAAACGCGATCTGAACTAAAAGCCACTAGCCACCTACAAAGCATTCTTAGCAGGAGCGCAGGGGTATATCAACGCCGAAGAGGCCGATGCCAATGATCCCGAGCACAGATCCAATAAAAACAAAGGAATAGAGCAAGGGTCGACCTCGGGAAAACAAGACAATTGAAAACGTCGAGGTGGAGATAAACAGGTCGCGTCGGCGTCGAACCTTCCAGAAACAAAGAAGCCCAGGCAAGAGGAAAATTGGAAGACTCGCCCATTTTAACGATATGACTCCTACCATGAGCTGACCATAGGGCCTGAAGAGGTATTTAATCAGGTTGGCTGAGGAAACTTGTTGCGCTGACCAGAACCTATGAAGTTGGATCCAAACCGGAAGAATCAGAATACTGCAGGTTCCATGGGGACGTCGGCCACAACACCAACGACTGCACCAACCTGAAGGATGAGATTGAAAGACTAATCTGCGAGGGAAGGTTGCAAGAGTTCAAAGCTGATAAGAGAGGTGATGGCCACAGAAATGGTGGTCAGCGTTGGGAGGATAATAGACGTCGAGAAGACCGTGAGCCAGTCGGTGTCATAAGGACCACCCATGGGGGACCATATCTTAGGGGGGATTCAAGGAGATCCCAAAAGAATTATGCCTATGAGGCGAGACAGGTGTATCAAGAGAGGTTTTGGAACCTTTCAACGGCCAAACCTACAAAGGTAGCAAAATTTGGTGGTACTGAAGTGGTATTCACAGAGGAGGATGTGACTGGGGTTCATTTCCCCCACAATGACGCCTTGGTAGTAGAGGCAATGGTTGGAAACCACATCATATGCAGGATCCTCGTGGACAACGGGAGCTCGGTGGACATCCTATACTCCGATTGCCTGGAAAAAAGGGAATTCTAGGAGAGCAACTGGAGAAAATGTCCCGACCATTATACGTGTTCATAGGAGACTCAGTCATCCCCCGGGGAACAATCAGGCTGCCTGTGACTACAGGAGAAAAGCCTAGGAAAATAACTATGATGGTAAATTTTATGGTAATTAAAGGAGGCTCACAATACAATGTTGTGATCAGGAGGCCGACCCTTCAGGCACTGAGAGCAATAACATCCATCTACTATCAAAAGGTTAAATTCCTGATCCCTTATGGCGTGGGAGAAATGAAGAGCAATCAATACGAGTCCAGGGTTGCATACTCAGATGCCATTCGGGGATATGATCAACCAGGGAGACGAGAAGCAAGAATGGTACATCAAGGACCATTTGAAGACATAGATCCTAGAATCGAAGAGGAGATTGCATGGTCCTAACCAATCGAGCAATTGGTGGAAATCCAGGTAGATAACGAGAAGCTGATGAGGGTACTAAAGATAGGCTCGGATTTGCCCCCAGCATTTAGAGTTGAAGTTGAAAACTTCCTGAAGAAAAATCTGGATGTGTTTGCATGGACGCATGCCGATATGGTAGGAATTGACTCTGACATCATGTGCCATACTTTGAATGCCGACCCCTCTTTTCCTCCTAAACGCCAAAAGCGCTGACCGATGAATCCGGAGAGGTACGAGGCATTAAAGGAAGAAGTCGACAAACTCATTAATAATGGCTTCATCAGGGAGGCTCATTATCCTAGATGGGTTTTAAACCCTTTCCTGGTGATAAAACCTAACGGGAAGTGGAGGACCTGTGTTGACTTTAGCGACCTTAACAAGGCTTGCCCACTCCCCCGAATAGATCAGATGGTCGACGTTAATGCCAGACACGAGTTGTTAAGCTTCATGGATGCCTACTCTGGTCATAACCAGATTCCCATGCACTCATCTGACGAAGCGCACACATAATTCATAAAAGACAGGAGCCTCTATTGCTACAAGGTAATGCCCTTTGACTTGAAGAACACCGGGGCAACATACCAGAGGCTGGTAAACAAAATGTTTGCTGATCAGATCGGGAAGACAATGGAGGTAAATGTCGATGACATGTTGGTAAAAAGCACTAAGGTGGGACGTCACGTCATGCACTTAAGGGAAATGTTTGATGTATTGAAAAAATATCGCATGAAGCTAAATCCCCTGAAGTGTGCTTTCAGAGTTGGATCAGGAAAAATTCTAGGGTTTATGGTCAGTAACAGAGGAATAGAGGCTAACCCCGAAAAAATAAGAGCCTTGCAAGACATGAGGTACCCCGCAAAATCAAAGGAAGTTCAGAGGTTGACAAGATGCATAGCTGCTCTTAATAGGTTCATATCTAAGGTGACGGACAAGTGTGTGCCCTTCTTCGACGCATTAAAAGGAAGTAAGCGGTTTGAGTGGACGCTATAATGTGAGGAAGCCTTCCAAAGGCTGAAGGAGCACTTAGGCAGACCCCCTATTCTATCCAAACCTATCCCAGGCGAGGGGCTAAGCTTATATCTCTCCATTTCAAAGCATGCCGTAAGTTCTGTGCTCATTAGGGAAGAAGAAAGGGTCCAGTTGCCTCGCCTTGATGGTGGCCTCAAGGAAGCTTCGACATTGTTTCTAGGCCCACACCATACAGGTTCTGACAAATCACCTACTCAGGCAAGCATTGTAGAAGCCTAAAACTTCCGGCCGACTCCTAAAATGGTCGGTGGAATTGAGCCAGTTTGACATTGAATACGTACCAAGGATAACGATCAAAGGGCAGGTGTTAGCTGATTTTATGGCAGAATTTTCCCACAGGTCAGTAGTGGCCAAAGATGAGGGGATCAGCAAAATGGAGTGGAAACTCTACGTAGATGGAGCAACAAATGAAACTGGATCAGGAGCAGGTGTCATGCTAATAAGTCCAAAGGGCCACAAAATCACCTCAACGGTGCGTTTCAAATATAAGGTCTCGAACAATGAAGCAGAATACGAGGCGCTGATAGTAGGATTATGGTTGGCAAGCCACTTAAAGATTGAAAGCCTTGGCATTTTTAATGACTCTACTATGTGGTCAGGCAAGTAAAGGAAGAGTATCAGGCACGCATCGAAAGAATGGAGACATACTTGAGAAAGGCAAATGAAGAGCTCATTAAGTTCAAAAACTATGAAATTGTACAGGTACCCAGAGCCAAAAATACAAATGCCGACACCTTGGCCAAACTGGTGTCCTCTAAGGATTCGGATACGCTAGGGGTCGTCCCCATTGAAGAATTGGAATGGCCATCAATTGAAGAGACATTTGAAGTCTTGACAACCCAGGCAACCGAAAATTGGATGACATCACTCGTCTAATACTTGATGAATGCAGAGCTACCCAATGATAAGGATGATGCTGAAGGGTCAAATATAGAGCTGCCAGGTACTTATTATATAATGACCGGGGAGTCCTCCGAGAGATCCATGAAGGAGTGTATGGTAATCATACTTAAGGGCAATCTTTAGCTCTTAAGGTTTTGAGGCAGGGGTACTATTGGTCTACGCTTAAAAAAGAAGCGTATCAATATGCTCAGTGTTGCGATAAGTGCCAACGATATGCCACAATTCCTAGAGCGCCCCTAGAAAACCTAACTTTCATTCTTAGCCCGTGGCCTTTCGCCAAATGGAGGGTCGACCTGATTGGACCTTTGCACCTCGCACCGGGAGGTTTTCAGTTTGCCATCATCGCCGTGGATTATTACACTAAGTGGGCCGAGGCAAAAGCCCTTACCTCGACCACATAGACTATCTAAACAAACTTCATTTGGAACAACATTGTGTGCATGTTTGGGGTTTCGCATTCGATCGTGTCCGACAATGATAAACAATTCAATAATCCCTCGACGCGGAAATTTTGTGATGATTTGGGCATTCAAAAAGACTATTCAGCTCCGATACATCCACAGTCCAACGGTTAAGTTGAGGCCGTCAACAAAATCCTAAAGTACACTCTGAAGAAAAAGCTGGATGACTTGAAGGGAAAATAGGCTGAAGAACTCCCAAAGGTCATATGGGCGTATAGGATGATGAGTCAAACTACGATGGGTGAAACACCTTTCTCTATGACATATGGAGTCGAGGCAGTACTCCTCATTGAAATCGGGGTGCCGACGTTAAGAACGGTCGCGTATGAGGACAACGCGAATGTCAAAGTAATGAACGGATAGCTCGATCTATTGGAAGAAAAAAGGCTCGACTCTTAACCGCGACTCACCGGTTACCAACAATGGACAGCGCGATACTACAACAAGAAAGTCAAACAAAGAAGGTTCGCACCGGGAGATGTGGTATTAAAAGGGGTGACGCAAAGCACCAAACCCAAAAATACTGGCCCTTTGGGCCCAACATGGGAAGGACCCTCCCGCGTATGGGAGGTGCTATGCCCAGGGACCTATGTTCTGGAAAGCCTCACCGGCAGAAAAATTCAACACATAAGGAATGCGGAGTAGCTAAAACTGTACTACCGATAGTGTATGATTTTTTACACATTTTAGTTGTATTTGGCATTTCAATAATATATGTGAACTTATTCATAGCAAGTGTCAAAACGTCGCGAAGAAGTCGACCCCTTAATAACATGTTTGCCTAAAAATCAAAGTTTTTAGGCAAACATGGGGGACAACAGGGATCTACGGACCAAACCAAAATGAAAGCAGCCGACCTCTCTAAGGAGAAGAGGCGATTGCTTAGCAAAATTTGGATTTTTGCTAATAGCGGTCGACCTCTCCAAGGAAAGAGATGATTGCTTAGCAAATTTTTAGGAAATTTGCTAAAAGCGATGACCCTAAGGGGCATCCAGGAAGCCGACTCCTTCAAGGAGGGTAAGCTTCCATATACTTAGCAGATTCTCAAACCTGCTAAAAGCCCCAAGGGGCATCCAGAAAGCTGTCTCCTCCAAGGAGGAGAAGCTTCCATATACTTAGGAGATTATTAAACCTGCTAAAAGCCCTAAGGGGCACCCATAAAGCTGTCCCCTCCAAGGAGGAGAAGCTTCCATATACTTAGCAGATTATCAAATCTGCCAAAACCCCCAAGGGGCATCAAGAAGGCTGACTCCTCCAAGGAGGATAAACTTCTATAAGCCCCAGGGGGCATAAAGAAAGTTGACTTTTCCAAGGAGGAGAAACTTCCAGGGAAAAGCCCTAGAGGCGTCAAAGCCGACCCCTCCAAAAAGGAGAGGCTGTCTAGAAGCTTACGATCGACTGCTAAAAAAAATATGTATATATGTCTATGGAATAAAATAAGGCTACAACAAAGATAATAAATATACATACTGGCAGAACAGAAATTCATTGTCTTAATATTGAGAAAAAAATATTACAGAAACAAAAAAAAAAAAAAACAAAAACAAGGAAGAAGTATCAGTGCTAGGTGCCTTAGGCCTCGTTGCGTCCGCCATCTTCCCCACCATCAGCTTCGCCATCAGTTCCTTCAGCGCCCCCACTACCCTCGCCACCCTCACCACCGGCAGGAGAGTCCTCATCATCAAAAAGAGGCTTGTAAAGGAAGTCTAGGTTCAGACCAAGAATGTGCCTGTTGATCCTAGCTACAAGTTACTCGCCAATAGATAGCATGTCACTGGCATGCATATCATGCAACTCGTCAGAGGATTTGAAGTCCGCAACGGCCTTGGCAACAACCTCCGTATTTTGCTGAGCAAATTCAGCAGAAGCCAGGAATCCCTCGATTCCCTCATTATGATCTTCTTGCTTACCCATGTCATATCCCTCCAATCGGCCTTGACAAGGGAAGGCTTCTTTGGACTCGGCGGCTTGCTTACGGGCTACCTCTACTTCCTTTTTGGCCTCATCTAAGTCAGTCTTCGCCGTATTTAGCTCATTCACAACGAGGGCAAGCTTCTTCAAAAGCTCATCCTTGTTGGCTTTCTCCGCTTTAAGGAGAGCCTTCAGGCACCCCTTTACGCGATCCATCTCTTTACTCATGTCCTTAACCTTAACCATCTCAATAAAGTTAAGCAGAGATAGG